TTTAAAAAATTGAATGGTTTGCAAAAATATCAGCATTTTGTATTTGAAGCAGCTAATCTTGGAATTGTCAAAGCTCAAATGGTTGCTAATGGTACTTTTACTGAATTTAATTTGTTAAAAACTAGAAAAATAACTGTTTCCGAAATTACTAGAGAAATTAAATCTTTTTCTATTCTAAAACTAACTCTTCCTCCCTTGGATTATAAATGACAAGAATATCTCTATCATAATATTCGCCTATTTATTAGAGATAAATTCAAAGATATTACTTGTTCAAGCCCAATCTATACTGGTAATAAATAAAATTATTAAAATAATTATATACTTAATATTCTCTCATAAAAGGATATAAGTATATTAAAGAATAAATAAAATAAAGGAAAATCATGACAACAGAAAAATTATTAGAAACAAGAAAAGACATTGATTGTCTAAAATTTCACACAAAAATGTGATTAGAACATTTAGAAGCTCTTGAAAGCTATTATAAAAATGGTGAACATGCAAGTTTTTTTAATAAAGAAAAACCTGCTATTAACAATTTTTGATTTAATAAACATTATCGTAAAGGTATTGTTGAGATTTTTGACTTGTATAAGGGATTAGAAGAGCATATTAAGTGATTACAAAAGGAACTTGAAGTGAAGATCAAACTCATATTGAAGTTATGTGAGATGCTTGTGAATGAGTGAAAAAAGAAAAAGAAAGACTAGAAGAAGAATTCGACAGTATTAAAACTTTATTGCTTGATTTTATTGGAAAGCTTGCTGAAGAAAAAGTAAAAAATATGAATTTGGTAGAGCAATCAAAGGAAGATAAACGAGCTTTAGAAAATCTTAATGAAAAACTAGCAGAAGAGAAACAAACAGTTTAAAAGTTTATCTAGATAAATCTTTACTTAAGTTGCCAAGCAAATTCAAAATCTTTAAGAGAAAAGTAAAAACTAAATTCCAACATTTAATAGAAAAAGTTAAATCTGAAAAACAAGAACTAGAATAAGAACTTATTGCTAAGATAGAGGTAAAGATTGGCAGTTGTTAATATATGAAAAATCTAACCTATACACTTTTAGAATTAGAAGATTGGTGTAGTAATGGTTCAGTATGTGATTTTTGCTTTGGCCTTAATAAAGCATCTTATCAAATAAAAACCCATAATCAAATCACTAACAAAATATTAGCAAATGATTTTATTTGTGAAAATTGTAAGGTAAGATTTGAAAATGATGAGTT